ATATTAATTTGTTAATACCCCCCTCGTTGTCAAGGGATGAACACACGAGGTACGACACAAAGAGAGGGACAACTAAACGTCACACGTGCACACATACACACACATATGTACGCATGTACGTGCTTTGATCACGTCGCGGGTTGCTCCCCGCACCATGAAACGAAGCTAACAAACGTACGTCACGCGTACGGCGCTTGCCTTCCTCTTGCCTCCGGCCCCCTGAGGGAAGCTAGAAAGGGACTGCTCATGAAAAATGCAGTTGGTTTCGTTTCGTAAAGGACATTCCACCGTCTTGGTTAGCGAGTCGGTCAGCAAAAAACCCAAACTTAATGCCGCCCGCCAATCGATCCAATCGGCCCTCCAACACACAGTTACATACACACGCACACATACACATGCAAGCCATCTCCTTTTCCCGGCGCAGATCATAAAAACCTCACACACACATACATACATACAAACATACATACATTACGACCCTTCCCTTTGCAGGCAGGTGCACCAATCAACACGGCACGCGCGGCTCTATCCAGACCTCCAGCCAGTAGTACATTCAGACCCACAGCGCGCCAGCCTAGCCTCGTGAAACTCTTGAACCGCTTATCTTTTTGTGTATGTATGTATGTATGTATGTATGTATGTATGTATGTATGTATGTATGTATGTATGTATGTATGTATGTATGTATGTATGTATGTATGTATGTATGTATGTGTGTATGTATGTATGTGTGTGTTTCTTTCTATCGGGAGACCAAATCGGCGCTCCCACTCACAGCTATAGCCATGGCCAGGGGGTCCAGTCCAAAGTGCTGCAGTAGTGCGGGCAGCTCTTCATTCCCACCATAGCTCCACCCTACACCTAACCCCCCGTGTAAAGCCGCTGCAACCACGCGGCGCCTTAACAGCTATCGCCTGCGATTGGTGGAAGCCGAAGCAAAAAGCTTGGCAAACAGCTTATTGTGGAGACCGCTGCATTAGTACGGCAAAGGCAAAGCATAAAACATAAAAGTGCTTTAAATCTCAAGGCCTCCCGTTTCGATGCCCGGTGCATAGGAAATACACCCCGGAGTGGAAAAGACCAAAACAAGAGTACTCTGAGCCTCCATCCTCGGAGCCTCGAAGCCTCTGTTCCCAAGGTGTGGACTTTATGCCGGCCCCCTAATCAGTACGGGCTAAAAAGGACAATCATAGACACCGGAGCTGCTGGACAGCAACAGAGCCGTGTCTGATCGTCACGTGGATAAGGACCGCAGGTTTCACTTTATGAGGTTTTCGCGTGTGATTCAAAATCAACTAAATTCACTGTCCAGCCCCAACATCAACCCGGGCGTCCCTTGTCCGGGACTGACAGCAAGATCGACAGACAAACAGGCAGACAGACACATACACAGGCAGGCAGACAGGCAGGCAGGCAGACCCCGCAACACGTAAACCCCTTATTCTTGTGAATCACGTTGATTGGTCCAAACAGCAAAAAGGCAGCGCAACCTGCTCGACTGCATCCTATCTACTTGCGGGTTCAGCTAAAGCCCCTCTGGCTCCTCCGCTCCGGCGACTTATCCAGCCTTGGGCCGTTTCGCATCCACATCCAGGATAAGCAAGCCAGCCAGCCAACCCATCAAACTAATTCCTGCAGCACCTAGTTTGGATCCTCATCCTCATCCTCCTCCGCAGGTTGCCGCCGTCTGTCCTGCCTGCCAGCGTCGTTAAGTTCCCCACCACAACCACAACAATGTCACCACACGGCCACGTTGGCGACTCCACGGGTGAGTGAATGTGACCCCTCCACGCCTAGGCCCGGGTGCATGTATACAAGAAGGTGCACAGCAACCCTTGTTCCAAAAACGTTCAAGTAACGCGCGCGCTGAATGATGACTCCAAAACACCATGCTTGATGCCTTTCATAACCCCGCCCAAAGGTCCTTGGCAGGGTTCGTACCGGAGACCTCTCTTCCTCCAGTTTGGATTATTCATCAAAAGCATATCGCAAACCCGGAAGTTGATAAGTATGACTATGACAGTGTGAGCAGCACTTCAGTCCTATGAATTCGATAGTAGATGAAGAAGTAGTTTAAAGCGCAGGGCCCCGCCAGTTGCCTCCCCTCGCTATCATCCCCAACAGGGAGCCGTTCCAAAATGCTCATAAAACTGCCACACCGCATTCATACATGCCTCCGCATCACATTGCCTTATTACATACATACATACATACATACATACATACATACATACATACATACGCACATGCATTCACACACGCACACTCTCTCGCGCGCCAAGTGCGAAGACATCCGCCTACATTCGTTCACCACGTACGTTTCCAACGCACACGTGGCTATGCATGCATGCATGCATACCCAATCACATACACCCCTACCCATGGCCCACGCACTCGCACACGCAAAGGCACGTACGAGCCATTCAAGAAAAGAGCTTCTTCAGTTTGCGACGGGCCTTCTGCAGCCAACCGCCCTTGACGACGTCCTTGCCGTTGGCGCTGCCCGCCGCCACCCCCCCGTCGCCGCCTGCCTGGGAGTCCCCCAGGAAAACACCACCCGGCGCACCTGCCACCGCCCTCAGCCTCGCATCTGCCTTTGCGTAAGGTGCCTTGAGGCTCCCACTCTTACCGCCCGCTGGCAGGGGACCCGCCCCCTTAACGGATTCCTTCCCGCCTGCCTTCGCACTAGAAAGCTCCGATAGCTTCTCCCTGGTGGCGGGCACCATGATGGATGATGCACCGCTGCCGTCTGCGCCGTCACCGTCGCCGGCAATAGCAGAAGCCGCATTGACGGCGTTGGCCACAGCAGCCGCTCCAGGGGCAGACCCCACAACTGATGAACGCAGCGCTGTGCCGGGTGTCGTCGATCTGGTTCCGTACATCGCCTTCGCCGCCGTCGCTTCGGCGTCAGCAGCGCCGTCAGCATTGGTGTCGGGGGCAGGCCCCCGGTCGCTGCCGCAGCGGAACTGCTGCGCCAAATCCGTCGAACGCGGTACCGTCCTCGCCGCGACGGCGGCTGTGGAGAACCTTGAGGAGACGTGTCGACGTGAAACCAGCACGGCGTTGGATGCTGCTGTTGTTGTGGTTGCTGCTGCTGCTGCTGTTGTTGTTGTTGTGGCGGTGGCGGCAGCGTGAATGAAGGGCTCGGAACCGGACGCTGCGGCTGGATTCGAGGCCAAAGACTGCAAGGCACCGCCGGTGTCGCTGCTAGCTAAAAGTACTGCCGCGGCCATGGCGGTGGCGGCGCCGGAGCCGCTCACAGGCGCCGCCGCCGTCGCCGCCCCCGACGTCGGAAGGGCACCCGAGTGGAACCCGGGAGATCCCAGGCTTGTGACTGGTGTCATCCCCGCGCCTTGGTCGATTGAGCGTACGGCATGGTGGAAATGCTGAGTGAGTGTGGTGGCATCGGCACCGGGTGACGGCGACCAGGCTCCGGATCCGAGTGGTGACGTGGTGTAGTCGAATACGTTGACGCTGGCGGGCGGACCCGTGGGTCGGCGATGCGGGTAGACGAAGCCCGTACAGGAAGGCAAGTGCGGTGCCCCCATGGGGGTCATGACCTCCCCCAGCTCGTTCTGCATGGCCTATTCGTAGGTCAGGAGAAAATTGGCAGTTATTGCACGGTTAGTGTTGTAACCTACCGGTCAGGTACGTTGGCGGTTATTTGGCGATTGGCCGCTCGTCTGATTGGAAATTGCAGTTCGTTAAAAAGGAGGTTGGTTGCCTAAGTATCCGCTACTAACGGTTAAAAGGCGGTTGGCTGCATAACCATCATAACCACCACCGGCACTGTTACCACAAAACGCACACTCACCGCCATCAGCGCAGACGATGCGCTGACAGTGCTCATGTTTATCTGCATGAAAGGTATCGACTGTGCCTCCGCCAGGGGCACCCCGCCGCTTTCGCCGCTCAGCGGTGCTGGGGACGACGGCACTGCCGCCGCCGCTGCCGAACGGCAACTCGCATCCGACGACAGCTTGTCCCCTGACAGCGACAAGCGCCCCGCTCTTCCGGGCTGCTGGCGACCGATCGCTGCCTTGCCGCCGAGGTGACGAACCTGCTCAGGATGTCGACCGAAGCTACCGCCCAGGGGACCGCAGCCGCCGCCGCCGCCGCCGCCGCCCATGCCGCCGCCGCCCATGCCGCCGCCGCCATTGCCGGGAGACGCCGTAACACGGCAGGGTGGCATAGGCGCCCAAGGCTCCGGAGCGCCAAAAGCCATGATCGGCAGCGGCGCTACGGCCTCAGAAGTCGCAGGGTACGGTTCGAATGGCGGCTGCAGCGGCTCAGACCCGACGGCAGCTGCAGCGGCGTCCAAAGCCCGGGCATGTAGGGGCCCCCTGCTCTGGAGCACCCGGGGAGCTGCTGCCCGGAAGTCAACTGAGCGGTCGGGGCGTGAGACGGAGGGCCCTAACGAGTCATACGGGGCAGGTGCAAAGGTGGCGCTGGCGATGTACGACGCATCCGTCGCCGCAGTTCCCGAACCGGCGACGCCGGCTAGCGCCTCCGCCAGCGCCATGTAAGCCCCGGGTTGAGCCATGGCCGCCGCTGTTGCTGCTGCTGCCGACGCCCAGGCATGGAGCGACGGCTGGTTTTCATCGTTTACAGCCCCGCCGCGGCTATTGCCTGCTGCCATCGCGGCAGCGGCGTCCGCTGCCGCCTTCGCCTCCGCCGCCGCCAGCACCGCCGCTGCAGCTGCACGTAACGACGCATTTCCGGCGCCACTGCCGCCGCCATGCGACCCTTGTCCGCCGCCACGGCTGCCGCCGCCAAGGAGAGCCACGATGGTCGCATCCCGGCTTCCACCTGTACCGGAGCTCATCGCCTGCAACAGTTGTGAATAGTCCTGGCGGATGCCGTACGACAGGGAGGGCTCCATGGACATGACGGGGTCGGCAGAGAAGATGCCGTACTGAAGGGTGGGTGGACCGCTAACCGCCTGCTCGACATCTTGCTGTTGTGGATTGCTGCCTCGCTGGTCTCCCTCCCCAGTTCCCTGCTGCTGCGCCTGCTGCTGCGCCTGCTGCTGCGCCTGCTGCTGCGCCTGCTGCTGCGCCTGCTGCTGCGCCTGCTGCGGTACCTGTTGTCGTTGCAGCTGCCTTCCTGTTTCCCCCTCTTCCTGCTGTTGTCCGGTTAGTGCCCCGCAGCCGGCACCACTTTCCTGATGCTGAGAAACAGGTGCCTCAGACGGCTGTTGCCTAGGTGGCGAGGCTGTAGCCGGTGCGGCGGGAGCTCCGAGGGCTGACCCCAAGCGGATGGTCCCGGAAAGCGATGCTACAGCCGCCTCCGGCAGCTGCTCCGTATTCCAGTCTTGCTGCCCCACAGAATCTATCCCCTTCTTCAGCGGCGGTTGCGATTGTGGTTGTAGTAGTTGTCTGTTAGATACGTTGTCCGGTGTCTCTGGGCAACTAACCGACTGCAGCTGTGGACCCGCTGATATGCCTTGTGGAGCTCCCTGTCGCGCCACAACGGTGTCTGCGCTAAGAGCGCTCCTGGCGTTGGAACCTCGGCCCTCGTCGCCGCCAACGGGGAGCGTGACGCCGCCGCCGTCCGGAGCTCCGTCAACTGTCGCGGTAACGACCGCATGAGCCGCTGGCCTGTCCTTGGGGCTTCCGCCAACGGCAGCGGCAGTAGCATTGGAGGCGGCGGCCTCAGCACTCGAGAGGGCTGCCGCTTGTTGCTGCTGCTGCTGCCGCCGTCGTGGCTGGTCGAGCGTCGCCACGTGGATGCCCTGGAGTCCGCTCGGCGGCTGTTTATTATTGTCCGCCATCGAAGCCGTCGACGCCGTCACCAAAAGAGCTGCTGCTGGCGCCGCGGCGGCGATGGACTCCTGCTGACCTGCTGTCAGCTCCGAAACCCCCGGCTCCGTCTTAGCAATCTCACGATGCTTGGGCGGCAGCGGCGTCGCCGCCGTTACCGCAGGCAGCGGCTGCGGCTCTGTTATCGCCGCCACTGCCGTCGTCGTCATTTGCCGGCGGAGCTGTGCCCGCGGCTGCAGCTCTCGCGCAACCAGCCTCTCCAGGCTGGTTCCCGCCACTAACTGCGGGATCTCGAAGAAGTACGGCACCTTCAGTAGCTCGTCCGCCGTCAGGCGGTCCATTGGCTCTAACCTCAGACACGCCTCCAGGAATTGTCCTAGGGAGGCCCCGAGATAAGGCAGCCGCTGTAGGAGTGTACGGCCCGGCGGCGGCACGCGCAACGCCGCGAGGCGGGGGTCTTCACCGAGGCGCAGTGCCATGTGGGCGGGCAACGGGCCGAATATCCGCATGATGCGCCACAGCTGGTCTACAGTAGACGTGCCTGCATTGGATTGTCATCCCGAGGGGGGGGTACGTGTTGACTAACAGTTTGGTTAGTTACCGGTTTAGTTACCGGTTCTTGACTTGGATTTTTATGAGCGATGGCTTTCACGTAGCCCTTGCCGCATTTGGAGACTTTTAAAAACAGGGGCCGCCGTCCTCAGGTTCTCAGGTTTCTTCAGGAAAAAAGTGTCGTACATGAGGCCGTTCGGCAAGAGAGGGAATGAGAAAGAGTGGGCCGGGAAAAGGGGAAGGACGCGAACGCGGACGGGAACGGGAACGGTGTCACCTACCGGGCATTAGCGGCTCACCCACTGCAAGCTCGGCAATGGTGCAACCCAAGGCCCATATGTCTGCGGAGGGACACGTTTTGAATGGCTGGATTGGACCACACGAGTTTGCAATTAAAGCCTTGGGGGCCGTCAAAGCCATTAAGGGGGTTCTGGAGCCCAAATCAGTGAGACACCGCCGCATACAAATGGTAACAGATACAACGCCGAGCCACTGCGGAGCCACTGTGGAGCTAGGGAACTAGGCTGCTAGGAAGAATGCTACCCTAAGGGCACGAGGTAAGGTCGGGACAGACAGACAGACAGATGGACGGTAAGGACGGAGCCAGTACCAGGTTCCGCAGCCGCAGTGTCCTGTCTCCGGCCCCGGGGTGATTGCGACTGCGTTCCCATCACAGGTGCGGAAGGACGGGCAGACAGACAGCAGATGGGACGGACAGACAGACAGACAGATGGACGGACAGACAGACCTGCGGATGGTCCATAGTCCAAGCTGAGAAGAACCTCTGGAGCCCGATACCTGCCGCATGAGGGGAGGGTGGGGTCGGGAGACGCAGGTGGCACAAATGAAACCAGGTGGCGTGATTGGACGTTTTGGAAAGCACGAACAGTAAATAGGGAAGAGGATGTGAACTCCAGTAGACAGTTAACACCAACGGCAAGACGAGCAGTGATTGTTGTGGATGAAGGTGAGTTTGGGCTTGGGAGGGAGCCCGACGGTTGGAAATCTAACTGGCTTCGAGCCTCAGCCATGTGACCTTCATACCAGTAAAAACCAGCTACCGGTTTTGTTAAGGTTTCACGGTTTTAGGGTTTTCTTAGAAATGCACGTCACAAATGGTGACCCCGTGTCAGTGTGTGCCGTTTCCGAGTGAAATCTCTGCCTTGTCTAAGGTCTCTCGCTTTCTTTTCCTCCAGCTCAGATGTAATGTAGTAATTTCATTAAGGGCTATTGTAAAGATAAACCCACCATCGGGTGACGACGTAGGTCGATAGGCGCTCCGCGTTCCTAGGATCCACACAGGAAGTGAACCTGAAGTTGCAAAGCATTATGTACGGACAGTTGGTTGGTGTACGGATAAATCGATAGCCATGGCTACTGTGCAATAAAATCAGGTATTGTAAATGCAATAATTAAAAAAACCATGAACACGAAAATGCACGAACTCATAACGACAAAACCGAAACCTCTCAACCGATAAAGAGACAAAACCAACGAACCGACTAAAATCATGACGCTAAGCTCTAAAACCTTAACTGCAACGACCAAACGGCCAGTGATACACTAAATCATATTATGTATCGTATACTGTACACGTATAAAATTTTCTGCCGTGGATCGTGTCGTGTGACGCGCCTCAATCCTGCTCTTCGGACCGTCTGTATATCTGTCTGTCCGTCGTCTGCCCTTCCGTTACGGCCGCACACAAGACTGGCCCCCAACTGAGACGCCGAATCAGCACATCAGTCCAACATCATTCATTTCAAACTATCATCCAATTAGCGACCAAAATAATATCAGCGTAAACGCATTTCAAGGCGATCATTGACCGGTCATTCATCGTCGCATATCTTCACCGCCCAATTTCGCGCCCCTCTGTGCCGTGGAACCTGTATATGCTTGCAGATGCTGGGAGTGGCCCTGGAAGGTTCGCAGCAAAGCTGACGGCTCAGACAGCCGTCCGCGAATATCAATCGTAACCTTTAGTGCCGGGGACTTTCCGTTAGACATCGTTTGGCATGTGAGCTTGCAAGACATGATATCGCAAAAGAGGACCCAGGATGGTTGGCCATCACTCTTCTAGGTAGGGCAGCGGCATCATTCGCGAAAGAGGCCCACTCGGTGGTATGGTTAGCATGCTACCAACCGAATTCGGGGTCGATTGATTGCACGGCGGAAGCAATCCCCCCCATTTACCCGTCCCGTGTGCCCAAGCAACCGGCCTTTACAGATGGAAAGAGGCCCAACCCGGCCATTTTCCGGCTTCAAAAAAGCCGACACCCCTTGTGTCATCCCACACCATGGGAGACGAAGACTTTAGTTGAGTTGGATGCATCATTAAGCAGCCCCTCGCACAAATGTGTCCGGTCGTACTGTGCCGAATAAACGGTCCGTACAAGACGCCCCAAAAGCCAGGAGCGAATTTTACCGCGCGGGTGCGCGCGTGCGATTCACAAAATGCGCCTCTACAAGTGTATATAAATTTGGGGCACCTTACAATCCAACACCATACGTGCTTTGGAAACGCGGGCAGCTGCTTCACAAGGGCCCCCCTATTTTTGTTCATATACATGTACATATACACTAAGTGCGCCGGAGGCTTGCGGTGGTGATACTAGTGCCTCGCCTTTCCCCGGGCCCTTACCCGGCCATGAGAGATGCCGTACCACCATGAAATAAATTCGCGGGTCGTACCTTGCGAAGCCAAAGTCACACAGCTTGATATGCCCATCGTTGTCGATGAGGATGTTAGATGGCTTAAGGTCTCTATGTACAATCTGCGGTGTGGTACAACAAGGCGGGCTGGGTGTGGAATCACACTTCACTGCGGAATCCTATCTCTCCATTATGGCCGGCAGTTAGTAGTTCTGATGTGCCCTTGGCAGGCAGGCCTTCTGCCTTTTGGGTAGAAGGCCACCTCACCTCACCTCACCTCACGGTGTGCCCTGAAGCCGCCGGGTGTCGGCTGGCAGTGCCGTCCTTTCCAGTCCCTTCACGTCCTCCTTCCCACCCCCTTTCCATCCCCCTTGGTGTTCCCTGTCCTTCCCCCCCTGGATCGCCTTACCTTCTCCCCATGCAGGTACCTTAGCGCCAAACACAGCTGAAAGGCCATCAGCTTGAGCGCCTTGGAAGGTAGTCCCTTTCGGAACTTGCACAGCTCCTTGTACGCGCAACCCTCCACGTACTCTGTATATATGTCGGATAGAGAGTTAAAGGGGTGAAGTGGGGTCGAGCAAAAAATCAGAGGTTCACGGGCCCCGGCAAGTGATGGAGTGGAGGGACAAGTTGGATGGCAAGGGTATTATGGAGGTATTCTGGTTTTACAAAACAAATCAGGACTGTCATCTGGCTTGTGGCTGCCCGTGCCACCTGGCTTGTGGCTGCTCGTGCCACCTGGCTTGAGTCTGCCCGTGCCACCTGGCTTGAGTCTGCCCGTGCCACCTGGCTTGAGTCTGCCCGTGCCACCTGGCTTGAGTCTGCCCGTGCCACCTGGCTTGTGGCTGCCCGTGCCATCTGGCTTGTGGCTGCCCGTGTCATCTGGCTTGTGGCTGCCCGTGCCATCTGGCTTGAGGCTGCCCGTGCCACCTGGCTTGAGTCTGCCCGTGCCACCTGGCTTGAGTCTGCCCGTGCCACCTGGCTTGTGGCTGCCCGTGCCATCTGGCTTGTGGCTGCCCGTATCATCTGGCTTGTGGCTGCCCGTGCCATCTGGCTTGAGGCTGCCCGTGCCACCTGGCTTGTGGCTGCCCGTGCCACCTGGCTTGAGTCTGCCCGTGCCACCTGGCTTGTGGCTGCCCGTGCCACCTGGCTTGTGGCTGCCCGTGCCACCTGGCTTGAGTCTGCCCGTGCCACCTGGCTTGTGGCTGCCCGTGCCATCTGGCTTGTGGCTGCCCGTATCATCTGGCTTGTGGCTGCCCGTGCCATCTGGCTTGAGGCTGCCCGTGCCACCTGGCTTGTGTCTGCCCGTGCCACCTGGCTTGAGGCTGCCCGTGCCACCTGGCTTGTGGCTGCCCGTGCCATCTGGCTTGTGGCTGCCCGTATCATCTGGCTTGTGGCTGCCCGTGCCATCTGGCTTGAGGCTGCCCGTGCCACCTGGCTTGAGGCTGCCCGTGCCACCTGGCTTGAGTCTGCCCGTGCCACCTGGCTTGTGGCTGCCCGTGCCATCTGGCTTGTGGCTGCCCGTGCCATCTGGCTTGTGGCTGCCCGTGCCATCTGGCTTGTGGCTGCCCATATCATCTGGCTTGTGGCTGCCCATGCCATCTGGCTTGAGGCTGCCCGTGCCACCTGGCTTAAGGCTGCCCATGCTGTCTTCCTTTGATACTGCCGCCGCCATGCTGCAGCCCCATGCCACACAAGCCTCACTGCGCTCCCTGTGCGGTGCTGACCTGGTTGCCTGTCTCCTGCTAGGCTGGCCTAGCTCTGCTAGCCCAGCCAGGGCTTTACCTGCTTTGATAACGCTTCCCTGCTTCCCTGCTTACCAAAAATGAGGTAAACCCTCCCGCTCTTGCTTTTGAACGCGTCCAGCAGACGAACGCAGTTGTCATGGTTGATGGCCTTCAGGACACGGACCTCCCGGAGTGCGAGCCGCATGATCTGCAGCATTGGAGGGAAACATCTGCCTCGGTCTTAAACACATGCCCACCACGAAGTGGCACAATGCAAAGCTGCATGGGAGGAGAAACGGCACTAGCCCAGCATAGGCTTGCGTGAGCTGGACCGCTGTCCCTGGAGGCCCCAGGTTCACTTCGAGATTTATTATCCCCGCAGCAGAAGGGACTCTGCATGCACCCACAGTGGACACTACTGGAAAGCCCTTGGTCACACACATACATACAAACAAACATGTTCACGAGGGGGTTATTGCTATGAGCAGGTAGATTCTAATGTACGGTTGTACGGGGATATGAGGCAACGGCCATGGAGTATACAGAAGCGCGCACATAGAGATGGGGGTGAACAGCAAATGCACAGGGGCCGGACCCCTCCGGCTTCCAAGGGTACGACGACAACAGGTTATGACTCAGAGGCGCTGTGGCTTGGGAGGGAGTTGTGGCAAGGGCCTTGGAGGCGCTGCGTAGCGTGCGTGCAATTGCAGGGAGATGGCACGTATGGGCCAGAGTAACCGAGTAATGCTTTACGGCGGTGGTCCCTTTGCCAAATACGATGAAGCCACATCTTAAGCATCGCAAGCTACCAACCGCAAAACGCGGCGTTACGAAACGGTGACGATGGCAAGGTAAACGTTCTATACATACGCACCAAGCACAAATGTTTTGCACGTAGTTGAGTGTAGCTTACACACCTCTTTATCAGTGTGTGCCTGACGGAACACTTTGCATGCCACGAGCATTCCCTCGCGCAAGCCGTCTGTGGCCTTCTCTCCGTTTGGCAAGGGCCGCACTCGACAAACCCAAACCTGGAAGTTCCGAAGCACAGGACGGGCAACGAATCGGAATAACCTTCCAGAGCTATAAACATTCGTTAGCTTGAGTCCTAAATACGGCTCTTCTACATGACTTGCCTGCCCGTATGCGCCTGAGCCGGCCTGCCCAATATATTCGTAGCGCTGTTCCAGTGTTTAAGGATAAATCCAGAGTTATTAGGAAGAAGACAGCAGACAGTACCATGCAGCAAGAGGTCGCACCTCCATTACGGAATAGCACTGGATTTAGATGCGACAAGTCACCTGCAACCTCTTTGCATTCCTGCTGTGTGTTTGGCAGGTTTAGGAATGCGACCAGGACGAAAAAGCCTGTGTTACAAGTGTATGCATCAGGACAGGGCAAACAACTAGTCGCTACTACTGTTTAGTATTTCGTCAGCACTGCATCAAACGATGCAGTTTTCTGAGTTCATAGACTGTACGGCTCCGCACAGCCGTATTTGAAACTTAAGATGCCTAGAACCACCGCGCCGAGATAGATCGTTGTGTGGAACCTGCTTACGGACATGAACCATATACATATGCATCTAAAATTTGAGGGCAGTTCAAGCATCTCCCAATATCCACCTCGGGCCTGCACAGTGCGTACGATAAACACGAAATACGCTGACGAGCTTACAAAATTTTAAAATCGATCATTGAAATTGGGAAATATAAGCCCACCCCAGTTGTGAATGCTAACTCACTGGTAAACTAGTGCCGACGTGTTCATTACCTCGGGAAACGCGGAAAATTCGTTCTACACGTATGGGCCGCGTAAATGTTCACTGCACGTTAAACAAAAAAGCTCATTTGGCATTCACGAAGAAAGTTCATCAACCGTTTTTTCTTCGTACAACAACTATTTACTTTTTGAGAAGCATTTCACACAGATAACTCACATTTTATATCAAATACTAAAATAATCGTACTTCATACCAGCTGTATTTCACAGCAACACCTTACCTAACATCTGTCTGCTGTACATTGAACCGAAGCGGTTATGATCGAGACTCGGATGAATACGAGATATAACAAACCATATCCTCCTGTAAGCTCCTGCTTCAACTTTTTCCTCTGAATTAGTTTTATCCACACATAGGTCTCAATCGGTCGGATAGATAAGAGCTACGTGACAATCCATTTATGCATCCGCAGGATTTCTATGAACGGAGAGGTATGCATTACGTATTGCGAAGAATGATCAGAAGGCTTGGGCATTAACCGAAGCTATCCAGCTACCGATCGAATGTGGCGGTTAACGGCATCCCTGCTATTGATGTGTTCGAGCGGCATGGGATATATTTTGTGCGGGAACAACAAAGGAAATATGGGGTCATATCTGCGTGAAAGACGGTTGATCGTGATCGGTTGGGCCCATTAGCCAAAGCTTGGCATCGGCGACTTGCGCTTTTGAGTTACTCGTCCCTAGGACGTGCGCCGCGAGCCACGACTGGAATCGGACTCCGTCTTTCGGAGGAGGGAATCGAAAATGAAGAAGCAGCTCTGTACGCGCGTGAGCAGAACTGAGGAACAGAATGTCTGAGTTAGTATATGCAGAGGAGTGCAAAGTGGTCCTAATCCTCTAATCCAGGGGGTGGGTACTGGTCAGCAATCCTCTAATCTCAACAGGGGTGGACCACTTCTAATCCCTAATCCAGAGTGGTGGTCTAATCCATATCCTAGGGTCGGGGTTCTAATCCTAATCCCGTGGCCGGGTCCCAATCTCAATCCTGGGGGGGGGGCCCAATCCTAATCCTGGGGCCGGACGGCAATCCTAACCCTGAGGCTGGGGTCCCAATCCTAATCCTGTTGGTCGTGTCGTAATCCTTATCGTGGAGCTGTAATCGTGTGACTGATTCGGTAAAACCTTAATTTTGGCTGGGGGGTCCAATCCTAATAGAAGGGTTCAGTGACACGGAAACACACAGTGCCATACAGGCGCGAGGCGATGGCAATGCAAGTGCGTAAAAAAACCCAATGCATTTTTACAGCGGGTATATGATCAAACGAAGTAAAACTTGAAACATAAAAAGCAAGCTGCGCACCCTGGCCATTTCTGCAGTATCGTGCCATATGGAAGACTTTAAGCAGGGATACTGCGTTTAAACACCTTGATTCAAGCATCTACAGATGCGACTGTGGGGCGGTCGAAGATAAAATGCACGTTGAGAGAGGTGAACCAATGGTTCACCGTCCACACTTGCAGCGCGCCAGGGATCTTCAATGCCATAAATACCAGGGGCTTTCACAGCTATGAAGCACAACCCAATAAGCAGGACATGCCTCGTGAAACGATGTCGACGTATGATATTGAGCCAAAAGATGTTAACATGTGCGCATAACAATAGACTCAATCATACATAGCCCGAGAATTAAGAACAAGCCCTTGGGCGGAGTAGCTAACACGTCCTTGAGTAGCTAAGAGAGGTGATCCAATGGATCACCATCCACACTGGCAGCGAAGCAGAGACCTTCAATGCCAAAAATACCAGGGGCCTTCGCAGCTATGAATTACAACCCAATAAGCAGGACATGCCTCGTGAAACGATGTCGACATATGATTTTGAGCCAGTAATGTTAGCATGTGCGCACCGTAGAAGGATTATTCATACATTTTCCGGCATTTAACCTACTTGTATTGTATAATTACGCATATTTGTCGCCACGCGACTGCCTTTGGAAGCGCCCCTCAATGTCGTGCAGTTGGTTTCGGAGGAGACGCGGGGCCTTGGCCATGCCATCCATACCTCTTCGTGTAGGCCGTCTTCGTCAATTTTTGCAGATTGTTTTATCGTAACTTTACTGATCAGCAGACGCCTGTCAGGAGCATGGCTGGGGCTCCTGGAGCGTATGGCTTCTGTGATCAGGAGCATGAGCGCCAGCCTTCTCAGGTAATAAGCAATTATCTACTGTAACATCTTACGTGACCACGGCGCAACTTCGGTGACCGTCAGGGCTGGCGACTACCAAGTGCACCAATGGATCACCATATCGACAGTGCCCGTCTCGATGGCAAGCTGTATTGACTGGTATGCACGACACGTTGCCTGACTAATGCAGAAGAGGTAATGGCTTGAGGCGCATGTGGACCTGGGGTTTATGGCGGACCTGGCCAATTTGCTGACCAACGGGCCGGAGCTCGACGCCAACGAGGCATCGGATGCAATAATTGCGCACCAGCTTCTCGAGAATGGGCTGAAGGACCTTGCGACCGTGAAGGCAGTGACTGACGGTAAGGTCGCATTGGATGCTGTTGAGTAGCAAGAGCGTGAAACCCTGCTGGATAAAATATAATCAAGCTCCTTCAGCAAATGCTGAGCACAAGTTTTGTTGGGGGTCGGGACCTTGGATACTGGCGTACGCAAGGTGTAGCTGCGCTTGTCGATGTGGCACACCGGAATGCACACCGGAATGCACACGTACTGAACACACCCACGAGGCACCACCAAGTCTTCGAGGTTTCAGGGCGCTTATGCATCCTTTTGATTGTAGCCGTGCTAGTGATAGTCACATGCCCATACAATGGATTAGGGTGCCCCTCTCGCAGGGGAAAGCAGGGACTGCCTCGGGAAAGGGGTCCACTGGCAAAGTTAACCACCCTGTAACAACATACATAAACCCATACACACATTTCATGTCCACATCCAAGAGCATACCACATGAACAACCTCATGCTTCGCTTGTCTCGGGAGCTTTTTACCTCACCCCAACCAGAACCCAATACACCTAGTTTTCTGAGCCATGTTGGTGCCTTTGTTCTCTCCATGATGCATGCGGTGCAGGGGTGGAGACCCACACTGTGTTTGTGGATGCAAAACCGGCGATTTCATCATTGTGAGAGCTGGCACCTGACCTGGCAGCAGTGAAGGCCCTTCAGCTCACCAAGGGAGCTTGTGCCCCTGCTGTGCAGCGGCATGAGAACTCCTATGACTCCTTGCAACCCTCTGGTATATGAGTGCCATGTTGACTGGTTCAGAGGCGCCTAAAGAGCTTTGGGGAGAAGCCGTTGTTACGGCGAACCTTCTCTGCAAGATGCAAGATTCTTTTCCCGCTGGAAAGGGAAATGTTTAGTTTGCGATTGTTACAGTGGACCAAAGACCCGACCCGAGGGTGAAAAGGCGTCCGCTGCTGAGGCACCTGTGAGGGCAATGGCGCTGCGGCAGGGCAGCTGGTGGAAAGGGTTGCAGAGCGGTCATGACGCGGTGGAAGGTCGGGCACAGGAATAAGGATGAGAAAAAGTAGGATGGGGATGTGGTCAGAGGTAGGTGGATGTGTCAGGGTAGGGGGTAGGATGCACCCAGGGTGCGGGTTCAGGATGCAAAGTGGGGGGGGGGTAGGATGCACTCGGAAAGGCCGGGATGCGAAAGCAAACAGGGTAGGATGCAGATGCCGACAGAGGCAGGATGAGGATGCAGTTGGACATTGTGATGGGCTAGCCCGCAAGTTTTATGACACAGGGTTTGGGCCGAGAGCTTATCTTTGCAGCATTTATTGGTTTCACTTGCCCCTGGCCGATGTAATGCCTGTTTGTCCGCTTCCGTCATCCAGGCTGTGCCCTTTAGCTGTGAGGTTTAGACGTCAAGATTGTCCGGCGACGCTATTCCGCTCTGGCCTGAAGAACAGTGGGAATTCGTATGTGCATGATCATGAATGCCTATCACTTGGCATGCATTCTATATCAGTTCAAGCATGAAAGACGTTTCGGGAAGGCGGCGGGATAAAGCCAACCTTGCGGAGGGCATGTTCGAAGCCTGTTTGAAGGATAGCGCAGTCCAGCTGCAGATTTTATTCATGAGGCAGGCATGGCCATCCCGCAGGCTGTTGTATGCGGAGCTGGCTGAACTCCCCTTACAGTATTACATGGTGAAACAGATTCTCCGTTTCAGGAACCGCCTTCAAAAGCAAGTGGGGTCCATTGCTCATGCAGTTTTACGGCAGGAGATAACCGATGCCCTAACCAACCCGGAATGGGAGGGTTGGGGAACCTCAATGTTACGACTGTTTTCCTTCTTGGAGTGCAACATTTGGAGCGGAATACCGCAAGAAGTCGTGAGGGTGAAGGAGCGCGTTGACTGGTTGCTGAGTAGGCCTCTACCCGAAGGAGCGGTGATAACAGCACTAAGGCAGCGTTTGATGAGCGGCTGGGACCATGCGCGTCTGACTGTCTTGCCAGGAAAGTACCCATCAGACGGGAAGCAACCGGGAGTACAGATGGCGAAGTATAAGCACTGGATGGGGCTGCCCTTTTCGGGAGCCGCAGCCGTCATGTGGCCAACACATGCTAAGGTTTTCATTCCTCGTTTCATCGTAAGCTAATGCAGTTTCGTTTATGTTGCTATGAGGCAAGTACCATGTCCCCAGGGGGCAGCGGTTTTGCCGCTGTTGTGGTACTAATAGCCGAATCGAGGATGAAAAACACGTGTTATTGGAATGCCCAGCCTGTAATGATATTCGTGCTGAAGAGGGATTCGATCATCAGAGCATGTTGGAGGCCATGAAATGGGAACCAGTACGTCTGGCGAGGATGTTGGAACGTATGTGAGCTCACCGAAACCCAGTTACCCCTTTTGGACGCTAGTCTGGGCTGATGCGGTGTTTCCTGTTCTCCGTGGCTTTTAGGCGTTGAAGTATTGCCCTTGGGCCTTCGGCTCGTATGGATAGTTTTACAGGTATGGGTTCACGCACCCCCCAACCATGTAACACACACACACACACACATGAAAGACGTTTCGATCATGAAACATGCGACTCACAGCTCTTACAACTGCCCCAAATGCCACAAGGGGCAACAAAACAGGTTTGGGCACACTACCAAGCCTTGGGCATTACATACCAGGATGCTGGGCAATCCATCCATGCAGCACCACCTTGTGCGGCCTCGGAGCTCCGGTCATGTTCTTCTCTTCCCTCATGGCCAGTTCCATATCTGTCACAGGGATATGCACATTTTGTAAAGTTCTTAACGGTTTTTAAACCCTAAGACTTAAATGCTAGGAAGTCCGCGAAGAAAAATAGGACAATCCGCCAACGGCGCCGACTGGCCCCCAATGGGTGCCCCTGCACTTCAGCAGCTTGGCTTCCGGTGTCTTTCTCGTAAGTCGTGAATCCATGTACGACACACGACCCATGTCCCTTGTGCTTACTTTCCTGCTTCCCATATCATGTAGGCTGGCCCAGTAGCTAACAGTGGGAGAGAGTCGTGAGAGAGTCCTTTTCATGTCAGGAAAGCGCCTCAAAACCGCGCAGTCAACAGAGCGCGTTCCGTCAACGTGGGAGGGTGAGGGCCCCCTCAAGGTGTTGCCCCCCAGGGCGCGGGCGCGGTAAAGGCACGTGGGCTGCAAAGTATCATCGGCACAGCAGCTCTGCATGACAGGTCGCCCGTCTTCGCAACTCAAGCAGGGTGTCTTCCCTCGGCGACACAAATGGGCCTCGATAGGGCCAAGACATCGACACTAGAGGTGCAATGCAGGTTGGAGGTAACTGCCGTACGAAGGCTGCATTTCCTATGTAAGGGCCTTATGGATACGAACTAAAGTACTCTTACAAATAAAATGGAGAGTTAGTTATATTTGAATGAATTAAAAAACAACGGTAGCTGTCTAGGTCGAGTGCAACTGAAGCGTGGCACTGTTCGGCCTTTGCTCCGTACCGACTCGTGCCGTACAGAGCCATGACAGGTTGTGCGCGTTGGCACATACTCATGTCGTTGCTGTTTTCCCATGACCAAGTCACGCAGAATCATGTTCATTAGACCTGGATAAGCTTCCGCATAAGATGAAGGGTCCATGAAGCGATTGGAGCAAGCGGGCGGTTGCAAAAAATAGTTGTCCGTACGCGGATGAGTGCCAGCTAACGGGGTCCACCTGTTCTGCCGAATCTAACATATTTGGGGTTTGATGATGCGTTTTGCATGAAAGCCTTTTCGCAGGATATAATGCCTCTGCACTTGATGACGCGTATGGCGGGAAAGTTGTTATTACAGTTGAGCAATTTGCGCTAAAGGACCGCCTTGGGAAGCCTTTGGATGCGGCAGTGACAGTCAGCAGATGGTTCTCAGTGGTCGTTCTTTTCCTTAAAAGCCTGGCAACCCGGCTGAGTAAGACTGAAGCGCTTCAAGTGCAGAGCAGCACATTATGGCATAACCAAATAGCCGTTGTGTTTCTCACTTATTATAGGTAGATCGGCGCTATGTCCCAAGAGACGAGCAACGTTGCGGTATCCGCAGACCAAGTCAGGAATGTAATCACTAGTTTAGTGGAACGCGAAAGCAATATGATATCGGTAATTTATGTTCTTGGCCTTTTGCGACCTGCTGAGGCAGCTGGGCAAATATGGAGCGCTGGCCATTGCTTCGCAGAACATGGACGAGGTTTACCGCTCCGTCATGACAGCAGCGGATTACCTGTCCATCCTGAACGATAGCGCCCAGGTGAGGCATTTGCTGCTGTTGCGGTATTTCCTGGAGTCTTGGTGATGCGGCGTTGCAATAACCAGTTCGGAGCGCGGTCCCCGCAGATTGGCACTTACAAGGAGCTCTTGTCTAATCTGGGCAAGCTCTCACACGAAGTGCGGGCTCATAAATGCGTCCTGCAGACTTTGGCGCAGAGCTACCAGGTAACGCGCGTCCGTACAGCACTTCAACCGCTCTTCGGTCCGTATTACTCCACCCCACCCTCATTACAAATTCACTATTCCTTATCTCCTTCCTTCCCAGCCTTCCCTGGAAGATACGGACTTCACGACACTACTCGATCAGGGACTTCACGACCGGCTACAGCAACAGCCGTAAGTTCAAATTCCGGGCTGCCACAACTTCAGTCTGTAATGTGCGCAGTGGCCTAAGAGGCCTGCAGCTGTAGCTTTGATAGGCATGGAGGCTGTAGCTTTGATAGGCTGGTTTTAGAGGGTTTGTGAGGCATCTGGGCCCTTCAATTTGCATGAACTTGTTTCAGCAGGGGCATCTCACCACACTCCACGCCTTCACCCCTGTTCCGTCCGATTTTTTCCGGAGTCCAGAGGAGTTTGTTTTTTTGTCACCTTGACCGTCCAACACCCACTCATGATAACGTTTCAGCATTTCCCCGGGTGGCTTGGTGCTGACCCTGTTTCCATCAAAAAGCATGTGCGCCACCTCCCGCGTTCGGCCTAGGAGCGGTTGAGAAAGCCAGCGAGACAGCCTCTCATTTGTGAAAAGACATGTTCTGCGGCTTCTTGTGTAGCGTTATTGTAGGAAAGTCAACTGGCTGATCGATAGGTGTCAAGACAGACAGACAGACAGATAAACTGCGTTGGATAGGGGAGTTTTGCTGCAACCGAGAGTGAAGTCCTCATGGGATTTGAACTCGGGTTCTAGTCAGGTCGAATGGGTTTTTTACTGTGCAGATACAATCCTCGGAACGATGAGCGGTTTCGGGAGTTCATGGGGGTGGTTGCGGCAGCTGGCGGATGTGCAGGGGAACCTGACGGTGTACGACAAGACGAGGGTGGCGATGAGCTGGATGACGACGAGGACTTTCGGGAGGCGGACAACGGCCGCACCTGGGTGAATGACAAGTGCCCACTCAGCATGAAAGAGGTGCGGATCGAACTGGGGACATATTCAGGGATTAGCAGAAAGTTCACATTTTGGGGTTTGGAAAGGCTTTTCCATAATTGGAAGCGATTGGCAATATTGCTTATGGTTGAAAGTGTATGAACATGATACTATGATTTGTTATAGGATGGATTTTGTTTCCCGGGATTTTTCTGTTGAAGTTCTACCCTTCCGTTATTAATGCGCGTCCCCCGCCACCACGCAATGCCGACGCAAAATCCGTCCAAAACTCGTCACGCTCCGTGGCAATATATTGTCGTACTTTCGTACATTCACGTACAGGTCCTGGATTTGGAGAGGCCAATGAAGGACCCCTTGAACTACGTATACGAGTACACGTACATTATGGCCTACCTGCAACCGCACCCCACCGGCTTCAAACATCCGTGCGCGGGTAAGGTGACGTATGCACAGAGCTGGGGGGGGGGGAAAGTGGTGGTATATGAACTTGCATGAAGGTAATGGTTAATGTGTGAAGTTATTGTTGTCCTCTCGGAGCTGCGTTCGTCCTTTTCTGTCTGTGTTGAAAAGTCTCTGTCGGTCCGGGTGTTAAGGCGGGGAGGCGTCCTTCGTGTCCTCTATGCTTACATCAGCTCACCATCCTCATCAGATACAGCATAAACTATATGTTGGTGAAAGTGAAATTGGAGATTTCCAGGCAAAACTGGTCTGACCTGAGTAATTAATGCTTAAAACAGTTAAAGAACCTAAAAACACACTCATATAGGAAAGCGATGTGATATTGGGTGAGCTAGCCTGGTGCGGATGCGGGTGGGCCGTTTCATGTTGGTTATGGCCGGGGTGTGGATGTTGTCAGAGAAGGGAAGGGTCGATCTGAAGGAGAATGCGCAATGGGGGGGTGCGGGCAGCGGGCTAACGACTGCAGCAAAACGCGCATCGTGTGCCGCTGCCGATCTATTTGTCTGTCTGTCTGTCCGCCATTCGTATTCCTCCTCTCGCTTCGTTTTCACCCTAAAGAACCAAAACCCACATCGCCATAAGAGCAACACGCATCATAGATACAGACATGGATATACATATCTACACAACGTCTATGCCACAGGTGTACGGCAGGAGCTCCGGGTCAGTGATCTCAAACCTGCGACTGACGTCATCCGCGCCAAGCGCCGCCAGAGGCTCATGCAGGCCTTGAACCCCACGGGCCCGTCGGGCTCTAATAACGCGGATGGGCGGGAGACGGCCGAGGACGTTATCGTCGTGTGACCACACGGTGATGATGGGACCTAGATGGCTCCTGCCGGAGGGAAATTTAAATTTAAACTGAGGCCTTATGACAGCTGAGGCAAAAGCCGGGCGGCGCAGACCTCCATCCGGCACGATGGCATTGCCGATGATGGCCGGCCTGAAAATGGATTTTGCGTGTTGGGGACTGTTAGCCGCATCCCCTGGAGTGTAAGCCGACGGTGGCGTCTTGGGTTTTGCAGTTGGTTGGTTGGTTGATAAGAGGGACCTAACGGGTCTAAGGGGGGGGTGCTGCAAGCGGCGATGAGGGTATGGAGCAGCCGGGGACTGGTCTGTCGCTGCAAAGAGATTTCAACGGCGAGAAGTGCGGCGCCAAAAATCGTGAACTGCATTCGCGGATTAAAAATTCCTTAACTTGCAACAGGCAGGGAACCTGGGGCCCAAGGTGCGCCTAAATCCGAATTGTGGTGTGTAGTACAGCCCTGTACAGCCAGAGCCGAGAGGTAACCACCCGAGTTGGGCAGTTCTGGGCGACGACGCCGGTGGTGGTGGTGGTTGCGGCGATGTTGATGATGGCTGATGGTGGCTGTGAGTGAAGAGTCGACAAAAGTGTACATTGGATCGGTTAGTTGTGCAGCCGAGGACTTCCCTGCCTTTTGTTGTGAAGGGGTCCTTGGAGAAGGGTAGTAGGAGCGTGTTGACGGTGCCGGTTTCCTTATCCAGCTGTTCTCTCCCTCGGTGGTTAGAGTGGTGGTTAGGTTGGTGGTTGCAAGTCGGATGTTTCAAGACTGTCTTCCTTATCCTCCTTTACCAGTACCCCTCATCTCCTCGACGTTCAAAACACACTCCACGCGCCCCCACGGTTGTGCGACGTGTGTATGCATGGCAAGCTCTCTGACCGGCTCGACTATTTGCTGGGAGGGAGCACGCAAGCCGATAGGCGTTGACTAAAATGCTTTCAGTGCGCGACGATCCCCAGCTTCCTTATACACACGCTTCAATACCTTTCCCCCGCTTCAAAAACATTCCCCCCCTTTCTCTGCCGTGTCCGCGTACCGCCTCCTTCACGGCCAAGGAACAGAACAGTCCGGTCAGCGTTCTCCGGCTTCGACACGCGCCTAACGCCACGCCCCTCCCCCCCACAGCATGCGGCGCCAGTGTACAACAAATACCCGATGGGTCCAGGACGAGCGGTCAGAAGGGCCCTGCGGCCGTACGCAACGCATAAGAGCCCCCAAGGTCACCGAGGGAAGTTAAAACGGTCTCTTGGGAACACATCGGCAGTTCACATACTTCAAATTAATGGCATAATTAGGGGGGATAGCGGATTACGTAGTTGTTAGGTCTGGTGGTCCAAAAGGCGCAGGTTGATGGGAGGTTGGTGTTGCTGTCATTCGCCCGGGTGATGGGCCCGCGAGCAGCACATGACGCACACGAGGACGTTCGAGGAGGCAGGCGGTGATGTGCTGGCATAAACACATACATACATACATACACGTATACAGACATGTATACAGACATAGCCCAGTCGTGTAAAACAGAACATCGGAAGGGTGTGACAGCACCTTTCAGGAAACACACTTGCATCATGCGCATGCACCGTCAACGACACAACAACACTAGGGGGCGTCAACACTAGTCAACGCATATCTTTCCCAATCCCGCATCTCGTCCCGGAGGGTAACCTATGATCCAGGACAATAGCCGCAGCCGCCACGACAGTCGTACAAGCCCGGGGACCTCCTCCGCGGGGTAACATAATATCCTTAATAAACCCTAACAACTTTAAAGACTCGCTTTTATATATCCCAAGGCCTCGGGGCCAGGTTTGGAAAAGGCAGCTGCGAATGCGAGCAAGGTGATGGCATCAGGAAAACTTGAGGAGGAGGAAAGGAAGCGCCGACAGGGCTCTCAGTCAGTGTGGTCCGGAAAACGTCAAGGTACAGAGTCCAGGATGGGCCCCACGTCCCTCAATTTTAGTTTAAAAGCTACCGGGGAATCCCCCCATTCCCTTTCCACACCAGGGATAGTAGCCGATATAATAACCACATCATCATCATCATCTTCTCCAGTTCAACGGATTGCGCCTCGTCCGAGTTTTTACCGAGGAGGGTGCGCCGTACATGCCGTACATGCCGTACATGATCAAGCCAGCGTAATGACCCACCGCCGGCGATACCCCCAAACGTGCTGTGCAATCCTGAATGTCCTCGAAGCAGCAGCAGAAGAAGAATAGTAAGAAAAAGAGCAAGAAGAAGGAGAAAATGACTGCTAACGCCTCCCAACAGCCCACCCAACCACCCTGGAGTCCGGGTCTCTGCCTTCTGGCCAATTGGCAGTGCGGTACCCAGCAGCAGCAGCAGCAGCAGCACAGTCACACGCTCATACTTTTCAGTTTCGTCGAACCACAACACATCACACCACAAAGTTCTCTTTACCACTAGACATGCCGCAGCAACCATTATGCGTCTTCTGCGTGCAGAATTCCTCACAAGCCGCGCATGAAGACATTTTCCAATGGCTGTACGACAATGCAGCAAACGGCCATTTTTGCCGTGCGCAGCGCCGCTTCAACAATTCTCCCCTCCCTTTTTCCCCTCCTCCCTTTTTTCGCTTTTCTGGTGCACACACACGCGGAGAGGCGGTTATTAAGCGTTCAGAAGAGGTTTGCTGCGTGCCCTTCTTACTCTGATGCACCCCGCCGCCGTGGGACACTATCCCTCATCAGTATCCCCCCTGGTGAGGGGGAGAGCCGCCTTACGTTAGTCGGCTCCGCGGGGTCAGACGCGTCCTCAACCGCACACGCGGCCTTTAGCAGTCAACACACATCATCAAGCAATATTCACCATCAATATCGAGCGCTGGCCTTTCAGTTATCCCTCCGATTCCTAGGACATGCGCCGAGAAGGCATGGGGATACATACATACATACATACGTATGTACGCACGGGCATGTATGTACGTACGAACACAAGTATGTACGTGCATACATACAAGAGAGGGAGAAAGCGTGAGGAAGAAAAAGAGAAAGAGGCAAATGGCACAAGACGCGACTGCGGCAAAGGCGTGAATACCGACATTCGTACATGGAAGGTGCCGTAAATCTCGTCCACACAGCTCTCCCCACCGCAAACCCCGTAAATAGAATCGCTGATATTCCTCACCTCGCCTCACCTCACCTCACATGACATGGTTTCCACCTCTCTGCGCTCGCTTGTCGCGCCGTCCCCACCGGGAGGAGTAGGAAGGTATCATCGCAATGGGTCACACACACCCCTTCTCTGCGCCAATCATGTACACCTAGGTGCCGTACATGTAAACGGCACTGCACGGCTATGTTAAGTTCGTGCTACTGAGGGGTCATTCCTTTGGCACGAACATATGATGCCACACGCCTCCACCCTCTTGTTGGCCTGTACGACGAGTTCCCCGGCAGACGCGGCTATGCGCCGGTTACAACAATCGACCGTGAAACCAGGTAGAATACCATTCTCCTCCTGGCCATTCGTACACTCGTACACCTCGAGGAGAGGATTCCCCGGAAAGGTTCGGGATGGCAAGTCGAAACGGGCGCACACCTCAAACGACAGCTGGTGGTTACTGCTCTTCCATTACTTGGGGAAAAAAGCAAGTTCGGCAACTCTTCAGGGCAGGTGGTTTCCCCCCTCTGGGTTTGCGCGGACAAGAGGGTTTAAAACAGTACGGAGATTCACATCCCCACAACTAAGATGTAAACACAGACACACGGGGGAAAAACACACACGGCAACGTAATAGTTTCCCTTCACCGAACACCCCTGACTGGTTCAAAAGCTCCCACCGCCAACACCAATACCACCAGTCCGCAGCCGCCATGACCTGCGGGGCCCCACCTCCTCCTCCTCCTCCACCTCCACCGACACAATTACGAAACGACATAATGCCCACCCATAGCCACCACCACCGTAACACCGGCACCTGGCCTAAAGAAAACAGCGCCCAGCGCCATCGCCACGATAATACAGCGGGCCCTTCCTCTTCCTCCCTCTCCCCCCCCCCACTCCAGCCAAGTCCAGGTCTGTTGTGTTCCTCCCTTACATAGGCCCTTCCATCTTCACACACACACAGACATACACACACAACAATTTGAATTTAGATATTCAGATCCGGGTCCCCTCCCCCGTATACACCCGAGGGGCCTCCTAGAGATGTCAACGTACTGCTCCCCCGAACGGCACCTCCCTTCTCATCCCTTCACAACGGCCTCGCGTACGCGCGCGAATACATACATACATACAGACATACGGTGCGGGGCCGAGATGCTTCCCCCCTGGGGGAGCTGTATGGACGGCGACGGGCACGCAGGCTACTCGCCACCCGCGGCCTGACCACCCTCCGGCACGTCCTTGCCGCTGGAGGCGACGACGGCAGCGCCACCGCCGCTGTGGAGCCTGACACTTCTGCCCACAGCGCCGCCCGCCGGGCTGCTGATGGCGGCGGCGGCATCACCTCCGGAAGGCGACTGCTCCATCGTACCCGCCGCCGTCGCCGCCATCGCCATAGCTTCCAGCGCCGCGACGGCATCAAGCTGCTGCATGCCAGTGCAATCCATGCTGCTGCCTCCGCCGCCCCCGCCATCGCCAGCGTGCGCCCCAGGCGCGCCGCCAGCCTCCGCCGTTGCGGCATTCTCGCCACCGCCGCCGCCGCCGCTGCCTGGCCGTTGCCCCGCAGCTCCTCCGTCACTGCCATTGCCGCCGCCGCTGCTGCCGCCAGCCGCACCCGCTAGTGCTTCCAGAAGGCTACCGACCTGAGTAAGTGCGGAGCCGCCATTGGCACCGCGGCCCAAGCCATCCAGCAGCTCGTTCAGTCGACGGGTGGCGGGAGAGGACAGCAGCCCGCCGGTGCTGACGCTGCCAGGGCCGCCGCCGCCGCCGCCGCCGCCGGATCCCGACGAGCCGTTGGCCTGCAGCCCCACCATGGCCGCAGCCACAGCGTCCGTGAGGGACAGTCCGTCAGGGAGGCCGAACTCCGCCAACTGCTGCTGCTGCTGTGACTGTTGCTGTTGTTGTTGTTGTTGCTGCTGTTGCTGGCCCCCGCCGCCGCCGCCGCCGCCGCTGAGCGACGCCATCGCCGCCGCCAGCCCCGCGGTACCGAGCTGCTGTATCAATTTGACGCCAAGTTCCACGTTGGCACCGGTGGCAGCCGCCGCCGCCGCCGCCGTGTTGTTTGCGTCGTCCGTCATGGGGCTGCCCCCCTGGCCCATCTTCTTGGCACGCCGCATATTGTGACGTGCCAGCCTGCGCAATGACGCGAGGGGGAATACTATGTGCAGGGTAACGAATTGTACGGCGATTCGTTGGAGTTTGATAAAAAAACTTGATTACGGCCATTACATTTCGGGGGCAATCGTTTCGCCCCACGGTGGTCGACTACCCTGCGCCCATCCGAATCTCCTTTCCTGACCAGCTCCCCTTCCCCTTCCTCGAGCCTGATACCCGCCTTTCGAACTCCACTCCCTCACTCCCCTGCCCCCTCCTCCTCCACCCTCTCCATCGACCCACATCGTACGACAAGAGCGTCGACTACCGTCAAACTCGGACAGGTGATGGAAGCGGCCGCACTGCTGACAGAAGCGCTGCGGCACTCCGTCCTTGAGCACGGAGCTGACCTTCAGATGGAACTCGCCTGGGGATGGGGCAAAAGGAGGGGGAGGGCGGTTGCAGGGGAGATGAACCACAGACGAACCAAACCTCAGACGCGAAGGCGGCGGTGGGGGGAGAGGAATGGTGTACTCGAAAGGGAGGCGGGCGGGAGCGGAGGGCAACATGGAAAAAGTAAGGAAAAAGAAAGATAAACGAACCCAGACGTCAACAACACACACGCACAGACATACTTACACATATACGCACATACACGCACATACATATATACGGAGAGGAAGGGAGGGCGGGAAGAGGCAAAAGGAGGAAAGCGAGATGGGTTTCTTTGGGAATGGGATGAGAACCAGGGTTGCTGGAACACCCCCACCCGGCTTATCGGCATTGCTCCCCCCACTGCCATCCCCATCACCTACAACCCGGGGATTTCCGTAATACGTTCAGCTGGAAGCTTCCAAATACCCACACCCCCGCCGTCCGGAACGCACGCTTCCCCAGCGCTCCCTCCCTCCCCCCTCCCCCCCAGGAGAAGAGGACTAGAAGCAAACCCAGCCGCAAAACCCCCCGGGTGGGGGTTGGGGGCGGCGGGCCGGGATTAGCAATAACCCCGACAGCACACGGTGGGCCACACCAAGGGGCGGGAGCCGTGGTGGAACGTAACGGTGTGGGTGAGGGTGTGGGAAGACTTTCTTTAATTCGGTTCAGTCCCGTAGAAGTCCA